TTCAGCGTTAGTGCATGTTAGGCTGAAAATTGCTCAGTATTGTATTCATCCATTAAACTTAATCTTACCTATGTGCAACAAATGATATCTTCAGGAACAGATGGTCTTAGGTCAAGAAAGCAGAGATTGCGTTCAAATTTCGTCTCATATTCGATTCTATGCAAAAATCTCGAAAATTGTTGAAACTATTTTTGATGACATTAGAATTTGATGATTACAAATCGGCAATTTAGCATTTGTGGAAAAAGACTCCCTAAAGTGTATACATGAGTAGTGTAACGCACAACATCAGGAAACTCAGGAATTGAGGACAGTTGATCTATGGAAATTTCTGAAGGAAGTCGTCACACGGACTGATGCATTTCTGCGAGTGTTGGTTGGTCTGTAGGAGGCTTTAACATTTTTTTATATTGTTAGGATCCCTTATAACTCTGAAGTTTTTTCTATGTTGAACTACCGTAATAACCCAGGACTCATTATTTAATATTTCTCTTCGATTCTTATGCTCATGAACTTCAGATTCACATCTTCACCTTCAACTCACGGATTAATAACTGGTAACAATGACATTTATTCCTATATTATTACTACTATTATTATTATGTATGATCGAGGCAATCTGATGTGCCTCTGTTTATTATATAAATATTCAGTAACTTGTAGAAGTTTTATTCTGCGCAGAAGTAGTTTCCAAGAAGTTGGAAAACACTAGAAATTTATCTCTCTTCCTAAGTGGGATTGTACAGGTATATTTCTAGATGATGGGGAATATGTATAGCTCAGTAGGATGATATTGATGATGTTGCTTTCTGTGACCTGGGTGGTTTAGTCATGAAATTTTCATTATCATTCTAGAGAGCATCATTAGCAAAAGCATCTGAAGTTTGTGCTTATGACGTTGTCTAGGATGAAAACGAAAGCTTCACCATTAAACCAGCCGTCTTGAAAAACATAACGCCATCAAAAGGAATGTATTTCGTCCACAGTTAGTAGTTGCTCCAAGTGCGATGCTTATTCGCACTTCGATAAATAAAATTACGGAACCCCTTATTTTACTACTTTTTTCAATTTATTATTTGTCCCTTGGGTTCATAGTGGAACGTCTCTAGTGCACTCTGTTTTCTGCAACCTTTTCAACCTGGCTTCACGACTGCCCACAAGCTCTCATTTCTTCCTCACACCATCTTCTCCATGTCACCCTTGCCTCGGACGCCCAACTCGTCGTTTCCCATCTGAGTTCCACTAGAGTGCCTGGCCTCGCGAGTGATATCCCCCAATGGTCTCCTCAGTGTATGTCCACTCCAATCCATCTCCACTTTCTTCTGCGTGGTTGTTGAACGAAAACGTTCTTCGTTGGTTTGTTGACAGCCAGCCGGCCACAATGAGTTCCTTCTTGCTTATTCCTATTACTGTGGTCATCCATCTGATCTTCAGTAACGAGCCAGTGTAGACGGCAGTTGTTGATGAATGTTTGTATTTTGTTCGAAATGCCTTTCGTATTTTGCCAAGTCTCTCAACCATCATATGGAAGCACTGACTTGACTGGATTAGTGTTGAAATTCCGGATGTTGTTCACTCTTCGTGCTGAGTGCAGAATATCTCTACACTGGTTTCAGGTTGATGAGCGCCTATCTTGCTGCTTTTCCGATCCTGGCTTTTACATCCTCGTCTGTGTCGCCACCGCCTGTAGTTGAAACGATGCTACCTTGACTTGGTTGGTGAAGGAGGCTACTTCCTTTAATTTTCTCCCACTGATGGTGATTGGAGCTTGTTGTTGTTGTTGGTTGGATATATTCATCACCTCTGTCTCCTCTACGTTCACTTGAATTCCCATCTTCGCTACCCAGTCTCGTCTCTTCTGTGAACTTGTTAGTTTTCGCCTGTAGATCTTCAAGTTTGTATGGCGTTAGACAGAAGTCATCGGCGAAATCCAAGTCTTCTAGGATCTTCTACTCAGTCCAGAGTATGCTTCTTTCTCGCTGCTCACTGTTTCCTGCATGATCCAGTCTGTCACGATCAGGAATATCTGATGGTAGGCAGCCTTGTCTTATTCCTGTCTTCATTTCAAAAGCATCACTGAGCTGAGCTTCTAGTCGTGAATTATTTGGCATGTAATATCTTATAGTTGTTGATGTCATCTAAAATCTTAACAAGTTTGAGAGTAGTGGTACTTGTTGAAAGTTGATCAACTCGTAAAGCTACTCCGAGTATGATTACGTAATTATCATGTGTAAATGAGTTGTATAAAAGCTCACTTCAGGATACACGTAATAATAATGAAAGCTTTATTCCAAATAACAAGTATGATACAGTATGGAATATACTAACAAATTCGCCTTCCATAGAGTATTTTCGAAAGAAATAATTATTACGTCTGTATAGTGTCAATAATAACAGTATTGAAGGCTTAGGTGTGAAACGGGCAGCTAATGTTATATTAGCATTTGTTCTCGATTCATAAATTAACAAAAAATCGAGTATAACTTTGTTGATAGTTGTTCGATCAGACGACACAGAAATTTACAATCCCATACAGGTATTCTAAAAATAATAATATGGTATGTTTCAGAACATTTACAAATCCATTTCCAAGTGGCGAAAAGTTTAACTTTATTTTGCTCTTGGTGTGAGAAATGAAAGTTGTAAAACATTTTAAAAACATGTAAGAGTATATGATACGTTCAGAAGATATTTAAATGATCAAAACAAGCTGAAAATGAAGAATCTGATGGAATATAATCGGTGGAAAGCTTTTTCGTAGTCAAATACACTAAGGATTAATCTTATAACAGTACTAATTCATCTAAGCTATTTAACTTACTTCGGTAGGTAAATATATTTTAATCGGTTTGTTGAACATTGTGAAACTAATTTATAAATATTGGATCGAAATGATAGTTTAACATCCTAAAGTCGCGGCATTCGATAATATCACCGGTTAAGGTGATATATTTTCATTTACTTATAGAACAATAAAATAAAGAACCGCATGTTTGAAAGAAACTCGTTTTCTGCAACAGGTAGGATTGAAATTTTAGCTGAAAATAATTCACGACCAAAAAGTTTACTACTTAGGTCATTGTTTTCACATTAATAGATATAGGTAAGTACAGTTACAAGAACAGTAAGTAGTTGTGTTCATGACTTTCTCTGCAAATAGAAAATTCACAGCCAAATGAAAGTAGTGACGGAAAAGTCTACCCACTTCGTTTTTCCACTAGGTATTACCCTATTTTTCAGTGGTTTCATACCGATTCGTTGATATTATTTGTGACCTTGAAGTATGAATATATTCAGCATGTAAATGAGTAACTACTTAAATGGTGAATGTAAGAAAAGTTACTCACAGGTTAACAGTTGAGGATATCAGTTCAGGATGCTACAATGTCAGGGATCACTGAGCTGAATGACCCTGAAAATGGCTGCAAGAATGAACTACATGAGATTAGGTATGAAGTGACCAGTTGTGGTTACGAAAATATATTTGGTAACAGGATACTTCAGAAGAGAGGGATACGCTGGCTGGACAGGGGAAAAGAACCTAAAAGATTTGGATTTCGCCGATGATGTGTCTAATGTCACACAAACTTGAGGATCTACAGGCGAAAACTAACAAGTTCACAGAAGAGGCAGCGAAGACAGGACTTCAAGTGAATGTAGAGGAGACAGAGATGATGAAGATACCCAACCAACAACAACAAGCTCTAGTCACCATCAATGGGAGAAAATCAAAAAAAGTAGCCTCCTTCACCAACCCAGTCAAGGCAGCACTGTTTCAACTACAAGTGACACAGGCACAGACGAGGACGTCACAGCCAGACAGGATTGGAAGAGCAGCAAGACAGGCGTTGATCAACCTGAAACCAGTGTGGAGATCTACTACACTGCACTCAGCATAAAGCCTGAACAACATCCGGATTTCCAACACCAACGTCAGTCAAGTCAGTGCTTCCATGTGGTGGTTGAGAGACTCGGCAGCACGTTAGGAAAGGGATTTCCAACAAACTACAGATATTCATCAACAACTGCCACCTACACTGGCTCGTTACTGAGGATAGGATGGCCAGAATAGTTAGAATAATTGACAAGGAACTCTGACTGAGAACGAACCAACGAAGCGAGAACGTTTTCGCTCAACAAATATGCACTGGAATGAAGTGGAGATGGATGAGAGTGAGCATACACTGAGGATGTCGACTAGGGACATCAGTCGCCAGGCGAGGCAAGGCCGTCGAGTGGATCCCGGATGGGAGGCTAATAGTTAGATGTCTGAGGTGAGGGTAACATGGAGGAGATCGTGTGAGGAGGAAACGAGAGGTTGTGGGCTGTCGTGGAGCCAGGTTCAAAAGATTCCAGAGAACAGAGAGCGTTGGAGACACGCTACTGAAGCTCTATTTTCCATTAGGAACTCATCTTCATCTTCATAGCTTTCAAGCGGAGCAGAATTATTCCTGTAGCCGAGCATTAATGAACATCATTTATTAAAGTTTTGTTGGCCTGATGATAATTATATCACACATGTGTGTGAAAAATAATGTATGTCTTATGCAAAATGTGTTGCAAACGTTAATCATAAAGTTATTACTATAGTGGTATTTCCTTACATAAACACTGAGATGCAATCTGACTAACTTCTATTTAGGCATATAGATGATTTGAAATGATTTTCAAAATTTTCTTCGTCAGTTTTATCATCTATTTGATAAATACAGTTGCGAATGTCTTTCAGACTGACTTCTGCAAAGAAATATCTGAGTAATTTGTCATTAAGTGAAATGAAGAAATACGAGATAGTTGGAAAATTTAGAATTTTAGATGCAGAATGAAAGTGCTGGTTGTTATAGGAGTTTAATACACTGTCATGGTCATTTTCATGCCATTCAGTGATGGAAGTCTTCCTCACCTTCTCAGAAAAGCTTAGGTAGCACCAAACAATTTCCAAGAAAATTATCGCAGTATATCTGTTCTATTTCAAAGCAAATTTATGTAATTTCTTTTAGGAGTCAGGAATACTACGCCTGAATTACGATATGGGAGGTGGTTTAGTCCATATCAGTGGACCTAATTTTCCGATAAATGATGGGTTCTATCATCGAATACGAGGTTATCGAGTTGATTATCAAATTATTCTTGAAGTGGACAACACAAGACATACATATGAATTGAACCGTAAGTTTTTATCATATTTATTATTATTATTATTAGTCCCTTGGGTTCCTAATGGAAAATAGGGATTCACTAGCACGTCTCCAGTGAACTCTGACTCTGAAATCTTTTCAACCTGGTTCCATGACAGCCCACAAGCTCTCATTTCCTCCTTGCACGATCTCCTCCCTATCACACTCGCCTCGGACTCCCAACTTGTCGCTTCCCATGGGGATTCCATTCGAGTACCTGGCCTGACGCATGATGTCCCCAGTCGGCCTTCTCAGTATATGCCCAATACAGTCCATCTCCACTTCATTCTGCATATTTGTTGGGTGATAGGTTCTTGGTTGGTTCGTCCCCAGAGCTCCTTGTTGCTTATTCTTACTATTCTGGCCATCTGATCTTCAGTAGCGAGCGTAAGCAGTTGTTGATGAATGTCTGTAGTTTATTGGAAATCCCTTTCGTGATGCGCCAAGTCTCTAAGCCATATAGAAGCACTGACTTGACGTATCATATAGTTCGCCAAAAATGTTAGATATACGTTCTGATAATTTCATTTGTTAGATTATTACTACTTTTTAACTGCTAATTTTCTGATATTTAACAATCACTTTGAAAAAATTAGTCCCTTTTATGAATTTGGATAACGTTATTACAAGACATAGAAAATATGGTGTATCTGAGCTATACGTTTCGCGGAATCTGATTATACACATAATTGTTAAGGCATTATGTATGAAAACTGGAAGTGGAGGAAGGATAAATGTGACATAAAGGAATTCAATAGTGGAAAAGATAATGAAAAGAAAAAAGATAAGATTTAAAGACAATCTTTGGTAGTACGACAAAATAAACATTACCAAGGTAAGCTGAGCTAAGGACAAGCTACTTTTGCATACATAATAGGGGGGTTAAGTTTGTTTATGGCTAGTGTTTGAACAAATCTAAGTATGCGCCCCTAGAAGTGTCTATACAACATTGTAAAGGCTCTTTTAATATCAATCCTGTGACCTTTATCAATGATGTTTCTTAATGGATGATGATGATTTTCTGCCACCTGGGTTTATCAATGTTTGTGAATCCAGCTACTTTTGTAGTCATTTCGATACATGTTCGCTTACCCTCAAGCCCATATCTCGATTAATCTTCCACACGCTTGTGTTCACATACAAATGTCAATTTATAAAAGTAGTGGAATATGGTGCAATCGTTTTTTTTTGGAGCATTGAGGTCTATGTTGCAGTTGATGTTTGATCTTCTCAACTACGGTAAGCTTACCTGCTTAGTATGTTTTGCTAACAGCAGAACTTAGCCTTCTTTTTAATATCACACTATTAGGTATGAACGCGTTTCTTCAAAACAGAGTATAGATAAGGTTTTAAAATTAGCTTATTTTTGTAGAGGTTTAATGAACTTCAATGAATATCCTTTTTTCACTAGTGTTTCATTTAGTATTTTGATGTCATCATCTACTGAGTTTTCTATACAAATACACTGGATCTTTTTGAATAAGTCCTATCGAATAAATTGTCAACTGGTTGAGTGTAGTGATAATCGAAAACTGTCAATGCCATAAAGTGGGAAATCGTATGATTTATTGTCTTCATAGTATCAGATGATAGAGGTCGTTCATTACTATGATTTAGTTTCATAATAGTCATTTTCGATATGATCTTTCAAGTGCCCGAATCTGACAGTCCGATTTATGCCTTTTAAAATTATACTCATATATCGTGATTCCAAGTAATTCATCTTTTTAAACACTTTATAAAATGATTACCATCAGGATATAGAAATAAAAGGAATGGCCTTAGTTACTGTGCAGATACGATTCGTTACTTGTGTTGCTGTTTTATTTGACAAAAGAAAATTAAGTGGTTCACAGCTGTGACCACTCCCATGGCATGAAACATCACATCAGTGATCATTGGTTAGTGTCCAACAAATCCTCGCTTCAAAACAAAATATTGAATTTTTTTCCTCCAGCTAACTGACACCATCCATAGTGCCAATGAGATACCCAGTTGTCTGTTAAGTGTTAGATATATCGTGCAATATGATCATTTAATGTGGAGGGTATGAAAAGGCTCCAGTTGTACAGCTGCTTTAACCTTCGTAAGATTGCCTTCATCTCTTGAAGTAAAAGTGTCATGTAGCATTTTGGGAGAGACGTCTGTGGTTGGGAGGAAACTTAGTTCATGATGTCGTGAATATTCATTTAATCAGGTGGCTAATGCATGTTTTTTGCATACCTGGCCACCACATGTCTTGATGGACAATCTGAGCTTCAGCAGAATTAGATTGGAAAAACGTCAACGGAGTTCAGACCGGAGTGTAACATCAATTCACTATTTCTATGGCTGTCAGTCTCAGCCCGCAAAGAAGATGTGGGTTTCCAGATTAGAGTCAATAATGCATCGGAGACCATTTATAGCAGATCCGAAGTGATATGGGTTAGAGTCGGTCTCTGTGATGCAGATGCATATATGTTTAATCTTCATCACTTTCCTGTTCACCTGTTCTCTAACTTTCATCGTAACTGATTATGTTGTTTTTACTACCTTGTCTTTCCTGTTACGTCTTTTTATCACGGAATGCTGGTATGGGCTATTGCAACTTAGATAGCTACGCAGTATTGCCAGAAAGTTCAGTGTTGTCTGGTTGTCAGTGTAATAAGTGCTAGGCCTATTCCTAAGCAGATAAACAGATTTGGAGGATAAAACTCTTTTTCGAAACACAATACAGTGCTCAGACTAACAGTCGTACAGGTTCAGTACCAGATCAGTCTATCGATGATGCTTTCTGGGTTCTCTTTACAGAACGTAGGGTTAAGGAGAACTTTATGAATGCAAAATCTTAAAGCTTTCAGTTAAATAAAATACTTTCAGGCGTTTTTAGACTTGTTATAAAGGTAGAACCTTGTGTAACTAATGAGCTTTGTTGTGAATGGCCGTTTCTTTCTGCACAGAACATCAGTGGCATAAAGCGCTTTCTATTCCCCGATGAAATAAGATTTACCTTTATTCTGATAACTGATAATTTCTGTTGACATGATTCAAAGTTGACTAAAGTGATGAATACATATGTACAATGGAAATTGTCTTCCTCAGTCTGAACATCCTCTAACCTCTTTTTATCTTTTCTTATCACTTTAATGCTCATTTTTGTTGCTTGAATAAGGACCTAATTCCATTTATCTCGTCTTATAATGACTTATAATGTTTGTCTACCCACTTATTTTACCAATGATCATTGAATGGGTATGACAACACTATTCAGAAAGCATTTCCAGCCATTCGAAAATTTGACGGAAAGAGAGATTCTAGATAGTTCTGGACCAAACGTCATCTGTCGAAAAAAACATACACATATCACTGAATCGGATCTCACATACTGGACAGACTCAACTTTCATGTTGTGGTTTGTATTATCCCGTCGCTGGTAAGTCGGACTGATCGGTTTCCACTGACACAGAGGTTTCTGTGTAGATGCCTCGATACTGCCTGTCACCGTGACGTTTGAATCGATCGGTGGTAGGTTTGAGTCCTTGCGGGAACAATATAAGTCACTGGGAGGCAAGTACATTCAGATGATGTATACTAAATAGGATGAAACATGCTTCCTGAATTCTACCGCTAGTCACTGTACATCAGTTATATAAAACATAACGTCTGTTTGTATCATTACTGAACAAATGTGACATTAGTTGCCGACATACAAATGAGAATCACACACTCATTGACAGCATCTCTCCTACCCATGTGAACACAAAGCATACTGCCACTTTTAATTGTAATAGGAGAATGTAGACTATTTATAGGCTCAAATATACGTCGGAGTGGTTTATCAGTAACATATGTCACAGCTACAACACCGACTTCTCACAGTTATACCAATAACTTCAATTCCACCCGATTCAGGACAAGCGAATATATACATATTTTTCAAATCTGGGAAATAATTCACTTTTTTCGAAAGGTGACTTCAAGTACCAGTCGACTTTTACCTATAAATGACGGGAAAGATTGACGTTCAAATACTTTTATTCACATAACATATACTCTGTCGATTTACTTTGTGAGGGGTAGGAAATTTAAATGCTTCTGTCGCTTATCTCCGATTTTTTATGCTTAAACAAAAGTAGAATGAATTTTCGAGATGAGTGGGGATTTTCAATTTAGAAGTAGTATTCATCATTGACTGACATTAGTTGGGGAACCATTGGAAATCTGGGAGCACTGGACAGCTCTTTCATCCTAGTATGGGAATCCTCAGCAGTATGTACCCACGACCCGGCTAGGGATCGAACTCAGGACCATCAGGTTTCACGGCGAACGTGTTAACCATTCAGCCACTGGGTCGGTTTCCAGTGGTTCACAATTTCCAACTTCTGTCAATTCACAACATAGTTGTAATGAGAAGCCGTGATCTGTGGGGTCAACCAGTCGGAAGTGAAGTGGATGCTAACTGAAGACCTTGGGCGACAACCGCTTTATGTTGTGAATTGAAGGAAGTTGGAAATTGTGAACCACTGGAAAACGACCCAGTGGCTGAATGGTTAACGCATTCGTCGTGAGATCTGAAGGTCCTGGGTCCAATCCCTAGCCGGGTCATGGGTACGTACTGCTGAGGATTCCCATACTAGGATGAAAGAGCTGTCCAGTGCCCCAGACTTCCAGTGGTTCCCAAATAATGTCAGTCAATGATGAATACTACTTCTAAAAGTATAATGAACCTAGAACTTGTATCCTTTATAATATCAGATAAATATTATTCTAGAATTTATATATCCAGCTAACTGTGGCGATGTCTAGTACTAAAACTATGCTGTAAAAACATAAAGTGAAGCGACGGATACTGAGTTTCAGTCTAAGTGAGTTCAACATCAATGACCTCGGTAAAGGTACAACCAACTGAGTAGTCCCAAATGGGACTAAACGCATGTCATGCATTCCACTGTTAGTCACCAGGTTCATATCTATGAAATTAGGTAGTGACTTGTCAGTAATACTAGACAGTATTTGGGTGATATTGCAAGAAATAGCCATCATGTTTTAAAAAAATTACCAATAAAAGCCTTTCCACAAACTAACTGCATGGGTCTGGATGTAGTAAGAGTTTTATAATCTCAGAATACTCATTAACTGGTTACACTGTAGAAAATATGGTCAGATATGATGGATGAGTTGGATTCAAAATGAATTAACTTTTCACTTGTGACAGGTTTTCAACCAGTAACTGATAGGCTGCTTACTCGTATGGTTAATACTTCATTTCCGGCATACCAGTTGTTCAAATTCGTATACAACCTACGATCACATATTTGGTCAGCTTAAGTATTCAGAAGAAAACCAAATTCACAACGCCTACATTGTGATTGAAATTCTTCTAGAACATTAATGTGAAGTATGATTTTAGTGGCTATATGATTTAACAAATCAAATAATGAAGTTATAATTAACAATTATAAGGACTACAATTCATTGGATTTCGTATTTTTGCTTAAACTCTAGTAGCTAAATTACAAACAATCTTGAAAAGTGTAAACAGTAGTCCCACAGGTAGAATCAATATACATCAACGGTAAAATGCTCTGATGGAAAGCTCATCTTCACCTACATCATTTTGTTATATACACAGAACCATAATAAGAAGTAATAGTTTCATTTCCTAAATTACTTTTAGTAATTTATACTTCGAAACACTGTAACTTTTCAAAACTTAGGTGCCTATGGAAGACGTTTCAACAATCAGAAAGTGATCTGGATTGGACATTCACCAAAGTTAAATAAAACAAATGGTTTTCGCGGTTATATGACAGGTGAGTTACAAGTTAAAGTCGTAATCATTTCTATTGATTACTCGTTAGTGTTTTTTTTGGAAGAGTTACGCTTAAATTACTGTAGAAAGGAATAGTTTCTTCCAAATGGACTTTATGGTATCAGTTATGAATTTCATTTGTTTAACGGTAATAAATAGCATGGACTTTCTGCAGATGATTGCCCATCCAGATTAGTATTGTCGATACACTATGCTGGTATTTTTATTGCGTTATATATATATATATATATATATATATATATATCGTAGTCAAGATAAGTGGTAATTACAGAGTGACTAGACTGATAATTACTGAGCTATAAAAATATAAAGCGAACAGTGATTCAAAGGGAGAAAGTTGTCAAATTATTGAAGTATACAAGACCGCAAACAATCAGAAAGCAGGGTAATTAAGTACGATCAGAGTAATTTAGACAGAAAGAAAGATATGATTAGACTTAAAACAAAGTCTCTGTTTAGGGATTGATTGTTTTGCGCACAAAATAATCTGAGGGCCTAAACCAGATCTTTAGTCTGTCACCAAGAAAGATGTCTTTATCACTCTTCCGTACAAAGTCACACTCATTGTGCAATCCTTAAACAGAGACATAACACTACTGTTCGAAGGACTCACTGCGCAACCAGGATTCGACTATAAAAACCACCAACCCATTATATTCTCTCAAACACCCACATCATGTGAACGACAATGTCACATCCCACTGTACCTACTAATTCAAATGTACGTGTAGTGACATATATACAAGGAGGACTCGGAGATCCATGTAAGTAAAGGCCTCGGAACATATTCCGAAGAAAATGGTTTCAGAAGCAAATTAAATCACCTGAACTGATGAATATTGGTCTCAGACGACATCCGAGTTCTTCTATCGCGAAATATATCATTGAGACAGGCCACTGGATTGATGTGGCTGCTTTCTTTACACCCATTTACAAAATGTGATGTGGACGGATCATTACATTTGTTGAGGCCTTATCTATCAGGATGTTTGAACCACCTTTGTATGTTCATATTAAACCTGCTTTGGCGGATTCAGCTACGAAAACTATTTGAAACAGTTAGTCCCTTTAATAAATTTCGATAACGCTATTAGAAGACGAAGATTACCTGAAAAATGTGTTTACCAATTTACATGTATGTGTGGGCATACATACATAGGGAGGAGTAATCGTTCAGTGGAGACTAAAGTGGGTGAACACACCCAAATGGCTTGAAAAGCAATTCAAATCACAAACATTGGTAAGTGCAGGTGACAGACATCCATCGTCGTGTATGGCAAAACATCTTCATTGAAATGAATTACAAGGTTAATACGAAAACAGCCTTCAAGATATTATACGGGAATAATCAGGGGGCGCATACTGAAGTTTGCCGAAGCGTTAGCCATTCGTAAACTTAAGCCCCTGCTGTGCGTACAAAATCAATTTGTTGTTTCACTTGTTTTACCCTATAATCCTTATCTGATTATATTACCAAGACTAGTGTCACAACCTTTTCATATTCATCATATATTTGGCCTTTAATTTTCATATATAAATTGGCTTGATAAGTAAATGTGTGATCAGATTGTTCGAAATGTACTGCGCAAATACATCATATTTTTCAGATAATCTTCGTCTTCTAATAGCGTTATGTCTGATGTACTATTATTTTCGCTCTAATGATTTTCATTGTTATTCGACCTTTAATTCAGCCTTCCTACTTGACCTCTTTTAATTTTCTCACCGCTTATCTTCATGACTTTTCATATAAATACGTATGAGAAGTACGTATATGATGGGATAGTTTGAAATGAGTTGCTGAAACACATTACACGGTTCAGAAAATTTACGTCTTATTGTTTTGTCGAAATAGAGGTATGGCTGGAAAAGGAAGTCTCGGAGGACATCTGACAGCATAATTTGTTACTGGATTGAAATTCCTTATCCTTAACGCAGTAAAATAGGAACTTTTTCTACTTCATCTTGGTTATGAATATTTCCTAGAGTGCTGACTTGCACAATCTAGTGTTTCCTCTAAAAATATTTGGAAACCAATACTGACAAGTTATTTGTTTGGCTTTGACTCTGAATTCACCTGTTCTCTGTGCAACTCAAATGTATCTGTTGAACTGTAGGTTAATATTTCTTTGGGATTGAATCTCATCCTTTTGTCAATAAGCAAGCTGACTTATGAAGATGAGAGTTGTTCACCAACAAAATAGGTCAAAGTGGTATATTGGGTTTGTGAAGCTTGACCTTATCGCTGTATATTCACATTCAGCCATTTTACTCCCTGTCATTATACTGGAAGCACCACGTTACATCTTCTAGGTTAGAAACCAATCTCAAATATAAACAAATGTCTTGCTAACACATTCGCAAGACCCTGTACTTTGTCAGCGTCATCATCTGACGGGACGATTTTCTCTGCTTACTCTAAGCTGATCAGATGACATCCAGGGAATAGATCAATCCCGTCAGGAGAAGAACGAAGAAGAATAGGGACGGTGACAGCAGGTATTCCTGGCGTGCACTACTAGCTGCTATCGATTCTGACGACAGCTCTCTGTCTGCCTCAATACGTCCGCGCAAGTACAAGTAGAAAACTTCGACTAGTGTTACACACCTACTGGGAACTCTTTTCACACCTAGACACTGTCACAGGATATCTGTGTTGAAGGAGATAAATACTGTTTTAGGTCGAAAAATATCGTGTCAGCCGCTGACAACTGTATCTGAGCTCGATGACCTGGAAAAGGATGAAAACCTGGTCCATGCACCCTAGTTCAGGTCGAAAACTTGCATAGTTTTCCTGAGTTGCAGATAGACGTTGGATATCCGTGGACCCAAAAATCTTGGACCTGATTTCAGTTAATCTGATTCACTCTATGTTTGTTACAAGATTTTGTCTTCTAATATGCTGGTATGGCCAGTGAATTGGATCAATCTGATGATACTTACTCAGATTCTACCCATTGCTCAATAACTCTGTTACTCTAAGCAGATATTTCATACCTCCCTCCCTAAAAACCCCGCCTGGCAAATTGTTTGATCCCGCTGCTTTGTATCTCTTCTGGTTTGATACAACCTTCTCATCCTCGAGAAGAGTTACTGGATTGATGTCTACATACTTACCAGGTTCTGCTGAGGTACTGGGCAAGTGAATGGTTGCTGTGTGTCAGTTGAACTATTTTTTAAAGTGTTCTGCCCAACGTTCTAGCTGCCTGTTGGGTGTGGGTAGAGATTGATAACTGACTCTTCTTTTATCTAGTCAACAACGAATAAGTGAAACAGGAATGGTTGAACATTCGCTCCGGATATATCGAAAATTCTGCCATCCCTGTCACAAGAAAGCAGATAGAATTTTAGCTGTAAAAACCATATCCGGAACTTTTGTAGTCTCCTTTACATGTTTACAGACGATACAGATGATAAGTTGTATCTGTATTAGAATCTAGTAAACAGCACTCTTTCATTGTATAATGCACCTATTCAGTCAACTAAGATGTAATAAAATTTTTGGCTTTGTTATATTTTCGGTCATGTTTTTTGACTATGAGGTTGCATAGGTTGCGGCAGACGCAACGCGGCGGACTACACCCGAATCTACTGGCGGATGGACAAATCCACTGATGGCTTACTTACATATATATACACATACATACTTGCATATGCACACATGCATGCACATGTACCAACGTTGATTACGGAATACCTATTGAGAATAAGTCATTTCAGAATTGATAGAGTTCCATATATTCATATTTACTAGCTAATTTATTTGCCTGTTACCCACTAGTGAATAAAAATACTTTGCAGTTACTACTGGCCTCAAAACCAGTTCAGTATCACTGTATCAGGTGTTATGATAAATTCACAGCTGAAACCTATGGAGAACATTTCAGTAATTATGAATTTTCCTGCAGGATGTTATCTGTCGCCCGGATAGCTCATACGTAATATCTCTGACTTCAACACTGAATGGAGTGGGTTCGAAACTCAGATGGGATAACAGTCCCGTCGAATTTTCAGGAATGTAGAGATGTCGAATACCAACATGCCTGAAACTGACGAAGAGCAAGGCTTCCTACCGATCACTTTCACTAAAATGAAATGAGTTTCGTCTATCGTACAGCATTTCTGAGCAAAATTCGAATGTAATTTACGTACCAAATCAAAGTTAGTCGATAAAGAATAGTTCTACTTTTTCTTCTTGGTTTCATTAAGTTTATACGGTGATTATTTATTTGTTTACTTTTATCAGGTGTCTACTACAACGGTTTATTGCTAAATGACTTAGCTGCAGGCTTATCGTATTTATCATTTATTCATGTGTCACGTTTTGGCAGTGTGGAATATGTACCTAAATTTCAACCTCATATGACCAAATCATCTTCAGTCGAAAAGTGAGTTCAGTACAACCCAATAGAGATGTTAGATCACACTGAATTCTTGTAGAACATTTAGTTTTAAAAAATTATGTCTTTTATATCTTTGTAGTGATCATAATCCGGTGGACAAAGGGTTTAAAACCTTTTAAATACGTCTTCAACTTTCTGTTGTATGAGGTAATCTACCTAGTGAATTGTAGTAATTTGTGGAAGTATATATAGAATATGAAGACAGATTATGAGAGTATATCAGAGATACCTTTTTGGAAATGGTATCCTCATAAACTGAATATAAATATGTAACCTATCTTCTTGCAATGGTTTCACTCAAAAAAAACTACAAAATAGTAGATTTTTAAAAAAATGTGAATACGGTAGCAACAATCAAAACTGGCTAATTTTGAAGGAGTTTCAATATTATTCAGAGTGACTTCACTCGAATGCAAATACTCCTTTAAAACTTCTCACCAACTGACATGTAAAGTAAGAGAATATGCACTTTGAAGACAGATCTTGTATTTTCTTACAATGAAAAAATATATATATATATCGCCATCAACGGGAGAAACTTAAAGCAAGTAGCATCTTTCACCAACCCAGTCAAGGCAGCATCGTTTCAACTATAGGCGGCGGCACAGACGAGGATGTCAAAGCTAGCCAAGACAGACGTTAATCACCTGAAACCAGTGTGGAGATCTTCTGTACTGAGCATGTGGAACAACATCGGATTTTCAACACTAACGTCAGTCAAGTCAGTGCTTCTATGTGATGGTTGAGAGACTTGGCAGTGCGTTAAGAAAAGCATTTCCAACGAACTACAAACATTCATCAACAACTGCCATCTACACTGGCTCGTTACTGAAGATCAGATGGATGGCCAGAGTAATAGGAAAAAGCAAGAAGGAACTCATTGTGGCTGGCTGGCTGGCTTCAACGAACCAACGAAGAACGTTTTCGCCCAACAACTATGCAGAAGAAAGTGGAGATGGATTGGAGTGATATACACTGAGAAGACCATTTGGGGATATCACTCGCCAGGCCAGGCCTTTGAGTGGAACCGAGGTGTTAAACGACGAGTTGGGCGTCCGAGGCAAGGGTGACTTGGAGAAGATGGTGTGAGGAAGAAATGAGAGCTTGTGGGCAGTCGTGGAGCCAGTTTGAAATGATTGGAGAGAAGAGAGTGTAATGGAGACGTGCTAGTGAAGCCCTATTTTCGACTAGGAACCCATGTGACAAATAATATAAGTGTATAGATATAAATTTCTTTGTTCTGGTGAACTTTATTTTATGCATTAAATTCAACATGATAGTTTTGGAAAACTGTATCCTACTAAATAAACTTGTTCGAAAAACTTTCCATGCTATTGATAAAACTGTATTTTGAAAGGATAACAATTAATTTCTTTGTCATATCTTGTTTTGCTTGTCGCCTTCTATTCAAGTGGAAGATAAAAATCATGATTTTTGGCGTCGTCAACTAGTTTTTTTCATTAACTGAAAACAATGTATGTCTAGCATAAACGTCTTCTTCTTAATCAGTTTTACCTTAGGAATAACAGGTTTGAACAGTGTCCCAAGAAATCAGTTGAATATTCAATATACAATCTTGAATAAGTTATCACTTTATAAGTCTGGATATAGAGAAGTTTGTGGATATGGCAAACTCTGTGAAGTTAACGAACGGCTTCAATTTCCTGGTAAATCATGAAATTTTATAAATCCAGTTAAAGCCATTTCAGACTTCAACGAAAATGATGACCTCACCTTCATTTAATTTTGATGTTTTGTATGACGACTATCCCGTTATTCAATAGTTCCTCATCCATATAATTTACTAGAGGTGGTAAAGCAGAGTGATTTAGAATGACCAATCTTAGGCGTAAAGTAATTAAGCCCCAATAAATATTTTCTCAAATACAGTGAAATGGAGACATGCTACTGAAGCCCTATGTTCCACTAGGAACTTATAGGACAAATATTAATAAAAATAAAGTGTTTTTCAAAGCTCTTCAGTAACCCAGTAATTATAAATAGTCTGTCAAAGTCATTTAACCACTGTAATTTGATAAATAAATTGAATGCTTTAAATGAAGTGATATCATTTACACTTCGTAAACGTTTATGTCAAAGAACGTGAAATCTAGTTACTATTTATATATGAATAGAATTTTAAACCAGTGTGGAGATCTTCTGTACTGAGCATGTGAAGCAACATACGGATTTTCAACACTAACGTCAGTCAAGTCAGTGCTTCTATGTGATGGTTGAGAGACTTGGCAGAGCGTTAGAAAAGCATTTCCAACGAACTACAAACATTCATCAACAACTGCCATCTACACTGGCTCGTTACTGAAGATCAGATGGATGGCTAGAGTAATAGGAAAAAGCAAGAAGGAACTCATTGTGGCTGGCTGGCTGGCTGTCAACGAACCAACGAAGAACGTTTTCGCCCAACAACTATGCAGAAGAAAGTGGAGATGGATTGGAGTAGATATACACTGAGAAGACCATTTGGGGATATCACTCTCCAGATCAGGCCGTCGAGTGTAACCCAGATGAAAAACGACGATTTGGGCTTCCGAAGTGTGGTGACTGGAGGAGATGGTGTGATGAGAAATGAGAGCTTGTGGGCAGTCGAGGAGCCAGTTTGAAAAGATTGGAGAGAAGAGAGTGTAATGAAGACGTGTTAGTGAAGCCCTGTTTTCCACTAGAAACCCAAGGGGCAAATAAATAATATTAAATAATAGAATTTTAAAAATGCTGATTAACATATTAGGTTAATTCAACTTAATGTTAATAAACTGACTCATTGGAGAAAGTTCATGGCTTTATCTCTTGTATAAAGTTTATGAATAATTAAATTTTCTACTGGTCCGCAGAACTTTAAAAGTAGTGGTTGAATGAAATACTGTCTTAGACGAGTGAAGAGGGGAAAGTGTACAGTTTATTTTTTGTCTTTAAAAGAGATTCAAACAAATTTGCATAGATCATAGTTAGATATTAAAGTCAGAATCGGAAAAGCAAGACAGGCGTTCATTAGCCTGAAACCAGTGTGGAGATCTTCTGCACTGCACTCAGCATAAAGCCTGAACAACATCCGGATTTTCAACACCAACTTCAGTCAAGTCAGTGCTTCCATGTGATGGTTCAGAGACTTGGCGCGTTAGGAAAGGCATTTCCAATAAACTATAGACATTCATCAACAACTGCCACTTACGCTGGCTCTCTACTGAAGATCAGATGGCCAGGAGAGTTAGAATAAGCGACAAGGAGCTCTGGTAACGAACCAACCAAGAACCTATCACCCAACAAATATGCAGTAGAAGAAAGTGGAGATGGATTGGACATACACTGAGAAGGTCTACTGGGGACATCACGCGTCAGGCCAGTTGTTCTAGTGGAATCCTACGGGAAGCGACGAGTTGGACGTCCGAGGGTGAGATGGAGGAGATCGTGTGAGGAGGAAATGAGAGGTTGTGGGCTGTCGTGGAGCCAGGTTCAAAATATTTCGTAGAAGAGAGTTCACTAGAGACGTGCTAGTGAATCCCTATGTTCCTTTAGGAACCCAAGCGACTAATAATAATAAATAGAGACTATTTCCAGCAGATGCATCATGTCTGTATTCATCTTAGACTGATACTAGTTGGAGAAATATTAGAAACCCAGGAGCACTAGACAGGTGTTTCGTCCTAATATGGGACTATCCATCAGTGAGCACCCATGAACTACCCAGGGCTCGAACCCAAGGTCTTCAGGTTTTATGTCCATTATGTAATTATTGAGCTGCTGGATCAGAATCCGATAGTTCATATTTCCTCTAAGGTTTTGATGTTTTCCTAAATGATGTAGGTTCATAATAAATACCAACTTGAAGTCAATAAGTAAATCTACACCAACCTCTCAAGTGGATCCATTTGCTTCTGTATTTGTCTTCATTCAATTAGAGGCCATTACTGCGTAGTGGCTTCGCAATGTGTTATATAATATGTTGACCACCAAGGAGATTTATGTTTTGATTATTCTTGTGAATAGGTTTAGCTACAAAGAGATGAATGAACTCTTCACCATCAAGTTTATGAAAACTTTATTAGTTTCCATATGTTCTTCTTCTAGTTTTCCGACATTTTATTCACCTTTCTAAAACTGTTACAATGTCTTAAAAACTTCTTATTTGGAGGTTCTGTGGTCAATTCTCTGCCTTTTCAGCTGTCAAGAAAAGTCTCCTAATATTTCTTCCTTCATTTTTCTGCTTTACATGCCTTAAACTGCTGACGTATACAATTTTGTTTTCTCATTGTGTTGATGAACATGTGAGTATCTGAGACATCATCATTCATATTTTTCATTGACTAACTTAGGTGAATAGCTCAATCCCTCAGTGTCTGATCCAAAAGTTACCTTCTGCTTCTTGTTTCACTATTGTTAAGCCTTTGCAGCAGACCAAAATAACTAATAAGCATTATAATTCTACAGTTCATACTTTTATGATTCTCGTTAAGTTTTGGATCTGTTCCTTCTGTTGCCTTTCAGTTCAGTGTCAAAAAAGTCAAACAATTCTGACGTCTTTAGTACGAAAAATGTCCCTGCTGATAGTGCAATGAACTATGTGGATCAAAATGAAGACAGTAGCTTTATAGCTACAGAAACATTTCAAAAAAGTCGATAGTTATGCCTCCTGTCACTGATTCTTCTACAGAATATTTATCGACACTAGAATATCACACTTATAACAATAGTTTTAGAGGTACTTATGAATGTCCCGATATGCCTTATTTAAATGTAAGTCATTTGGACAAAAATAATTGGAAATTTTACAAGAAAATCAGTGCAATCTATGGACAAGTAAATGTATGGCTGTTATTCAGTCTTGCTGGTGCTGGAATAGTCATGGTCACCTCGCTTACATTTCTAGCCTATAGATGTCATCGTAACAGATACATTAGTTCACAATGTTTTCAACCAAAGCAAATCAAACTTAATCAACAGTATTTTAATTATCCGTTACAAAGCTTAATCACTAAAAACCGCAATTCAGTTGGTTCTTTATTAAGTATGGATGAAATTCGATATACTGTGAAATCGAATAATTCAACAGAATACCAAGAACCAATATCATCATTTAAGTCGGATATTATATCTCAGTCGCTGTATAGTCATTTACCGAATATCAGTGAAAAACATTTGATTCCATCGAATATCAACACTTCTTTCCTTTTCGTTTCTGAACCCATTAATTTACCTATCTCTTCACTGGCAATAACAAGTGATGGATGTGTAATACATAAGAATTTTTTATCTCCAAGACACAATTGTGAAGTTAATATGAATGAAACAATATTAGAAAATGAAAAACATCTAGAAATACCTCTGAGTGATAGTGAATTAATCCTTAGTCAGTCAAATGATTTGACTAATACTTTGAACGACTGCTACATAAAAGCAAATGTTATGCATTTATCTGATGATATATGTAATACTGATCAATTAAATATTATTTCAGCATTGCAACATTCATAAATGATATGTAACTTCAGTGTAAAGTAATACTACCAAGCAAGAATTCAGAATGTGTTCATGTAAGCGATGTACTTCAAAGATGGAAACAAATATTGTAATACCTTTGTTGTCAAAGTTCAACGCATGCCAACTAATCTTTATATAATCATACGATGTAACCATAAAAAAAATACTCTTCAGCTCTGGAGATACTATAAAAAACCATCTAGTTATCTCAATAAATTCAAACTTATTATACAATTTATGATAAAGAGTTCTAAGACAAAAAGGAACATTTTGACGTCGAAATGTATCAGCTATCATAGGTATTTCAACTGATATCTTTGATAAAGCATATGATACCTTTTTCTGCTATCCTCTTATTGATAACAAAGAAAGGATTTTTCATACAAATTTGGATAATGATATTATCGATGAAGTTAGTCTGCAAATAGAATGTCATCAGTTTAAAGGTTTTAGTAATAGTGATCAGAATCCCTCAATGAAGCAAGATGTTAGTTAATATAGCAGCAAGAATTAGTGGGATATTGAACAAATACATACTCAAAAGATTTATGAAAAATAAAATGTACATAATTACTGAAATTTTAATGTATCATCAAATTTCACTTACTTTGTATATTCAAAATATTTCAGTGATAATCTCTACAGTTCATATGAAGATAAAATACCTAGAGTTCTTCTTTTTTTTCTTCATATATGTGATAAAATAAATCTTGGTTATCTAATTACCAGTCAACAGATCATAGCATCAGTATCTATAAAACACTTTACTTAAGAATGAAAAATAATTGAATTTCTTAAAATTCATTTTTTTTCTCGTAGAATTCAATAAAACAAATTTCTGATTATTTGTTAAATATTCAAATAATTTTTTTTTCCATTTTTAAACACTTTTCCTACAGATAACTAGTACACATGTCTTTCGAATCACTGCTCACTATCTTGATATAATATAACTTTGTTACTGTCAATAGAAGAAAAATAAAATGGTCATTTCTATCTCAACTTATTGTTAAAAGTCTGTGTAGACGACTTCTCAGACGATAACTATCTTCTATAATAAACTCTAGGCAGCAGATGATTTTCATTAACTTGTAATTAAAAAAAAAATTAACAGTTTTATCAATGTATTTTCTACTTAGCTTTATTTAAAATAAAAATATATAATTTAATAAAAGCGTTAAATATTATTTTTTTAATCACTCTCCTATCTACCCCAAGTAAAATATTAAGCCGCATCATCCTGGAGAGGCTTAAAGACGCACTGGATTCAAAACTACGACCGGAACAGGCAGGCTTCAGGAAGTACAAATCATGTGCTGACCAAATTGCAACGCTTCGTATCATCATAGAACAAAGCGTAGAATGGCAATCAGCTCTATACCTCAACTCCATCGACTTTGAGAAGGCCTTTGACAGCGTCGACCCAGAAGTAATTTGGAAACTGCTTCAATACTACGGAGTACCGCAAACCTTTATCCGCCTCATTCAACAACTATATGAAGACGCCACATGCCAGCCAAGTAATTCACAATGGGAAGCTCAGTGATGCCTTTGAAGTGAAGACAGGAGTGAAACAAGGTTGCCTACTATCCCCCATGATATTCCTTATTGTGGTGGACTGGATCATGCAGCAAACAGTAGGCAGCGAGAAGAGGGGGATACACTGGACGACGGAAAAGAACCTAGAAGACTTGGATTTCGCCGATGACTTGTGCCTAATGTCACATAAACTTGAAGATCTGCAGGCAAAAACTAACAAGTTGATAGAAGAGACAGCTAAGACGGGACTTCAGGTGAATATAGAGAAGACAGAAGTGATAAAGATACCGCACCACCACCATCAACAACAACAACAAACTCCAATCACCGTCAACGGGAGAAACTTGAAGGAAGTAACCTCCTCCACTTATCTAGGAAGCACTGTTTCAACTACAGGCGGGACGGACGAGGCTGTCAAAGTCAGAATCGGAAAAGCAAGACAGGCCAGCGTTCATTAGCCTGAAACCAGTGTGGAGATCTTCTGCACTCAGCATGTGGAACAAGATACGGATTTTCAACACCAACCAAGTCAAGTCAGTGCTCTTGTATGGCTCAGAGACTTGGCGCGTCACGAAAGGTATTTCCAATAAACTACAGACATTCATCAACAACTGCTTACGCTCGCTGCTGAAGATCAGATGGCCAGAAAAAATAAGCAACAAGGAACTCTGGGAACGAACCAACCAAGAACCTATCACGCAACAAATATGCAGGAAGAAGTGGAGATGGATTGGCCATGCACTGAGAAGGCCGACTGGGGACATCACGCGTCAGGCCAGTTGCTCCAGTGGAATCCCCAAGGGAAGCGACGAGTTGGACGTCCGAGGGTGACATGGAGGAGGTCGTGCGAGCAGGAAATGAGAGCTTCTGGGCTGTCGTGGGACCAGGTTCAAAAGATCTCAGAGAACAGAGGTCACTGGAGGCGTGCTACTGAAGCGGTATGTTCCACTAGGAACCCAAGGGACTAATAATAATAATAATAATTATTTTTTTAAGGAATACTGTTTTATTTCATTGTAGTTTCAAAGATATCGCTGAGCTTTCCATTGTGAATCACTGGGTATATAGCATCATTTGGCATATAGCTGTTGAATAAGGTTGATGAAGTTAATATAGGTGTAAAACGTGGGCACTATGATAGAATTTAATTCCATACTAGATTTGTTTATTTGATTTATAAAACACACAGTGATTTAGTATTATTTAAATTTTGAGGGAGTTGTGGAGATTTGGAATTATTTCAAGTTGTTATTCATCGTAGACTGACATCAGTAGGAGGAACTCTCTCAAAATTTAATTGAACTGGTGCTCATTGATGACTGGCTTCGAGAAGTATTCCCCAAGTTCCAATGAGAAGTCGTGACCGGTGGAGTCAAAGCCTGATGGCCATGAGGACAGATACTCAGCGATGACATTGGGTGGCGGTTGCGCTATATATCCTGAGCTAACAGAACTTGGAAATGTGGAGCATTGGATTCTGACCCAGTGGCTCAATGGTAACGCGCTGGCCGCGGAACCTGAAGGTCGCGGGTTCGATCCCTGCTGGTGGGGTCGTGGGTGCGCACTGCTGAGGAGTCCCATACTAGGACGAAACAGCTGACCAGGTTTCCTTCGTTCCTCCTACTGATGTTAGTATTATTTATTTGATGACGTTTCGAGCATAAATTATTGCTCATAATCAAATGTCGAAATTAGTGTGATTACATTGATATGATTGTGAGCAATAAGTTACACTCTGATAGCCATCAAGTAAATAATAGTAGATCACTGTGTGTTATAAATCAAATAAAGAAGAGGTTGATATAAGTTTGTGTCACTAAAACCGTAGTGTTAAAGCAGCTACCTGACAAATCACTTCTCAGTCGATGCTGTCGAAGGCCTTTTCAAAATCGATGTAGATGAGGTTGAGGTAGAGAGTTGACTACCATTCTAAAGTCTGTTACATGATGATGCGCAGCTTAGTGTTGCAATTCGACCTGCACATGATTTGTTCTTGCTGAATCCGGACAGCCACATTGTTTTGGTCGTATTTTTGAATGCAGAGCAATTTCCAGTCTCTCTGTGATGATGCTCCATCATATTTCGGTTGGTTGGTGTTGGCAGGAGTGGAGCATGACTTCCCACCGGTTCTTGCAAAGACCAAGGTCACCCTTCCTCTGGAGTTTGACAAGGAAGACAGCCCTTCCTACAATCAGTCGATAAGTACCTTTCCTTTCTTTCTTCCCTCCGTGTGAACCTTCTGCAATTGTGGTATGAGCGTGTTTGTTGCTGATGTCTGTGCTTCTGTTTTCAGTGCTTCTGGAGGAAGTTCATCTGGTTCTGCTGCTTTCTCGGATTTCATCAACTTCATGGCGTTCACAACTCCACTTTTACTTTTGTCTGAGGAACGGTGTTCGCAGGTATTTCTGCCGTCGCTGGTGTTATTTCTGGACGAGTTCCAGTTGGTGGTGGCTGATTCAAGAGTTTTCTGAAGTTACCAGCCCATTGTTTTCTTTGTTTCTCCACTTTCATGACTAGGTTTCCCTCACTAACTTTCATCGGTTTCATTTGCGTAGATCTCTACCCGGATAGTAGCCTGGTTATTTGATATAATGTTGTCAGGTCTCTGTCTCTCCTACCTGCAGCCTGTTTTGTTTCACTTGCCAATTTGTCGTATAAGTGTCTACTGTCGTTGCTCGCACTCTTCTTCACTTCCTTGTCCAGTGTAATGTTTTATAGACTGTGTTCAGTTCCCCTTTTCGTTGTTCATCCTTGCACTGGTTTATCTTGTGCTTCACCATCTTCCTCTTCCTGTTCTATCAGCTTCCATGTGTCCGTCGAGATCCATTCCATGTCTTGCTTCCTCTTCCTTCCTAATACAATTATCCACGTTTCTTTCCACATCCCTTTCACAGAGTTTCAGTAATATTCCATGTAAGTTTCCTCAGGGATGTTACTCAATGTCTTCCATTTTATCATGATGACTGACTGACATGAAGATGTCCTTTGAAATTTCTTCCTTCAGTTCAGTGTCTTAGTGTTGAAATGCAACTGTGGTCTATCATCAACTTCTGTGAAGGCTTTCAACTTGATTTGGAAGGCATATTCCTTGCACTAGATAGTGAGTAGCACGAACCTACATTTTCTCCTCTTCGTGATCTGATCTTGTGTCCTATAGGCTGCGTCTCCACTTTCTTCACATTGAAATGAAGTCGTTCAGCTCTTCAGTGTGTCCCGGTGGTGTCTGGTGAAACCCATGTTGCTTTTTGAATGGATATCCTTGTGTTTGTACACACTGCTTCCAACCGCCATATCGCTGAATGTACAGAAACTTGCAAACAGTTCTCCGTTCTCATTCATATCACCGAATGTTCTTCGACCCATGATTGGTCCTCTTCCTGTGTTGTCTGCCCCCAGTTTCACATTCATGTCACCTAACCTATTAGAATTTTGATGTCGTAGCTGTTAAAGGATCTTGTCCGTTACTGATTGTAGTTGTCTATAGAATTCCTCCTTCTCCTCTTCATCTGCATTATTTGTAGGTGCGTAGCATAGGCATTGTATGATTGTGACTTTCCTTCCTTTTGAGGCGGCTCTTCCTGTCATGATCCTGATCATGAAGAAGATTGGTTCCCACTGCATAAGAGACAGCCTTTGATGCTCTTCAAGGGGACATCATGATAGCGACTCCAAAACTCACTGTGCTCGTGGTTGTCATCTGGGTGAGAATATCGGAGTAGATTATTGACTCTCTAGTTAAGAGTTTGGAGAGTCCACTTCCATTCCATCTGCTTTCGCAGATTTCAAGCACTTCTATGCTATATCTCCTCATTTCTTTTCCAATCTGGTCAGCCTTGCTAGGTTCATACAGGGTGGGGACATTCCATGTCCCCATCCTTAATTTCATTTTCATTGAGAGAAGATACATTAGCTGACTGGAATCCCGGAGGCTTCCACCAATCGGCGTCACTTCGTCTCTCCGATTCCAGCGAGGAATAAGTTTGTTTTTATTTCTTATAATTTTTATGTGGTTTGAAGTTTGCTTGGAGATTGGATTGATTTTCCGTGATGGGGTTGCTAGCTCTATTCCCAACCTTTCCCCTTTACCCTGCTTATTACTGGCTAGTAACTAATGAACTAGTTAACCCAGAGACGTTCAAAATACTTGTGATCGACGCTAAATATATACATTCTGAATGACCTCGACAACATTAAAATACCCTGAAAAGTTAAAAGAGTTAACAATCAATGAGAACTCGGTCTTAAGATGGGAAAATGAAAGCTAGTAATAGCTCTGGGAGGACGCAAAAATAGCAATAACAAAATTATTTTAAGGTTATAGGTAAAATTAGGGGTATATAACACATGCCAAGTAATTCACAGTGGGAAGCTCAGTCATGCTTGAGAAGTGAGGAAAGCAGTAAAACAAAGCTGTCTACTATCACCCATGATATTCCTGATTGTCGTCAACTGGACTGGATCATGCAACAGACGACTGTGAGGAGGGAGAAGTGAGGGGATACGCTGGCTGGAACAGGGAAAAGAACCTAGAAGATTTGGATTTCGCCGATGACTTGTGTCTACAGGCGAAAACTAACAAGTTCACAGGAGAAGCGAGGCAGGGCAGCAAAGACAGGACTTCAAGTGAATATGGAGAAGACAGA